AGATTCGATAGGAACGAATGCATCAGCTAAAAATTGTCGCCGTAACTTTTCACCTTATCGAGAAAATCTGAATGCTAGACCCTGTCAAAAGCTTTCAAGATGTCTAATGTTACAGCCCGGGCTTCACCGTTTTTATCTTGAGCATGATAGACTCTTTCCGCAATTATCATCAGTACATCAGCAGTTGACCTGGAAAAAACAAAAGCGGAATTGCTTATCTGTGAAAAGGCCCTGCAAAGAGAGAAGATGAACCAATTCAGCATTGATTTTGGCATCGGGGTGCTTCTAAAAACGAGGTAGAGTATAATAGGTCGATAGTTGTATGTTTCAGCGGGTTCATCAGTCTTCTTAAAAACCGGAGCAACAGAGAGTGAATCCGGCAGGCATGGAAGCAGGAGGCACCGAGACATTTATTATGCAGTTTAGAGAGAACAGGAGCTAGTTCTAGAGAACGCTGCTGTGATGAATATTACAGGGATACCATCAGGTCCACATGCTCTGTGTGGATCCAAGTTAGAGATGATAGCAGACACTATGGAAAGTGTTCTATGCTTTTCACTCAACAGAGACACAGGTCTAAGTGTAAAACAGACAGGGATACTCCGGATGAGATGGAGGAGAAATTACGGGCAAAGCAATCAGATTTACCAGAAGAGGATGTTAACATATCAAATCCATTGAAGAGTGTGGATAGAGACATTTAACTTAGTGTTCTATTACAGAGCCCCCAGTAATCACAAAGATCGAAGTGCCTCATTCTCTCATCAAACAAGGATTTCTCTCCTTCGCTGACTCTCTTAGATTTATTACGGGCAGTAGCATATAGGTCCCGGGTATGACGAGAGCTGTCCCGCTAGTATAGCAGAAAATGTTGGTTCCTGTGTGCTAAGCCCGATGAGCATTCCGAAGTGAACCATATAGAGATTGGGGGTTTCACCTGGTAGATCCAAGAAGGGATGAAAGCGTTCATACAAGTTTTGACCAAAGAAGAAATCTAGGGGCGAAATTTTCACTTGGAAGTGTGAAGATGTCAGTTCAAGTATCACCCAGATGAAAAATCAGGATTGAGTCACAAACAGCAGACTCGTAAGAGAAATACGGCTTATGGATAGAGACTGCATATTTTGATGGATGCTTGGAAGGAGAAAACAATAAGCTACCACATGGTAACCTCCGAGTTAACGAGAGGGCAATATTGCAAAGCTTGGCAAGAGTGAGATAAACATAGAGCCATTGCGGAAGCCCTTGCTCGTTTTTCTAGGAAAACGAGTAGGTAAGTCCAGGATTTGAGTGAGGGATGTGACAATGGAAAAATCTAATGCTTCGATACCGGCATTCTTAGTGCCTTTGAATGATTTCAGTCAAGTGCCGTGGTGTGCACTATTGTGACTGAAGTCAAAGATGTTCTCAGATGGATCGAGAGAAAATGATTTTCTATACTGTCAGCTATTGCATCTAATATACTGCAGTCTTGGAAAGAGGGGGAGCGATTTTTGAAAAAGAGATAATTGACAGAGTTTAGTATTGAAAGACGGAAACCCATTAAGGATTAGTCCATGACCTCGAGAGACAATTCCCTTGCCATCTCCAGATTATACCGGATATGAAAATAGAGATTTCATGCATGCGAATACTGGAATCTTTTCGGTAAAGAGGAAGATACCCTGGAAACAAAAGTTCATTCATCCTAATGGAAGAATTCTTGTTGGTTTCACAAAGGGCAAAGATAACTGGCGACCCTTCCTAAATGGAAGCATTCTATGCTTCAGAAGTTGGAAATGATACAGCGAATATTGGAGAAATAAACATTGAGCGAATTAGCTGATTTTGTTAGCTGGTTTAGCGTTATTACTTTCTGCTTTAAAAAAACAGCATAATTGTAATTTCTTCCGTCAAGGGCAATAAAAACTATCCAGGGCGTGGCTGAGAGAAGAGCATAATGCCGCCTCATGGTTGCCCACCAGCAATACATGTACGGACACTTAATCATGCGCGATATAGCACTGTAGATAGCCCAATATTATGCGAGTGGTCATGGGAGCAGCCTCTCCAGTCGATACCAAAGAATTTGGGGTTCCAGTGAGAAGCGGCAGACACAAACTGCCAAACCTGTACCCTCATAATGGAAGTTCAGTGCCATGTTTAGTCTGCTCAGCAAATAGTGAAGACGGTTAAATCAATGTCCCTGATCAAATAAATAAATAGAACCGGTAAACCATATTCTGAACAGAGAACAATGGATGAAGCTCTACTCCTGTTCAAAAGATACGGAAGGAATGACAATAGGTGAGCCTATCTACGCGATATATATATATATATATATATATATATATATATATATATATACATTAAGGATTGGACAAAGTCCGACAATTTATTAAAGACATTTTTATGTTTAACATTCTTTTTATAGATACAAGTATTTAAGTAAATGCTCTGTTTATAATAAACAGTATAAAAAAACATTTACCAGCCTGGATGCCCGAGAAATTTTCATAGAAAATATTCGTCCTTTGACAGGATTCGAACCTGCATCCTATACTGAACCGGCATTTACGCTGAGGTGCCTTAACCAACTCGGCCACAAAGGAGCGTCCGGTAGACAAGGTTGAATTTACTGCTTATAAACTTCAATCTTCCATTAATCTCGTACATTCATCACTGCTCATGGCGTATCAAATACTTAAATACTTGTATCTATAAAAAGAATGTTAAACATAAAAATGTCTTTAATAAATTGTCGGACTTTGTCCTACTCTTAATGTATGACGTCATTTGTTTACATTTGATACGCCATCTGTATGGGTCCCTCTTTTAAGTTAAATTATACTTAATTTCTTCTCATTTTACTTGGATATACATATATATATATATATATATGTGTGTGTGTGTGTGTGTGTGTGTGTGTGTGTGTGAGAAAATATATAGAAAATTGGAAAGAACTCGTTAGGTAATTAATCCAAAGTTCTTTAGTATTTTTTTTATTATTTTTAAAAAAACAGTGCTCGATAGAAAAGTAGAGCCTAAATATAATTATTTATTTAAAATATGATTCCATCGGTACATGTTTCAAAACAAGAGCCGAAAACTTCAATATAATTATTTGAATTAAATTGAATTAAAGTACCAAGCTCTGTTCCATCTTCAAGCGAAAATTTTTTGGCATTTGAAGGAAATGAATAAAACACCAAAAGTAAAATGGAAAATTATAAACAAAACTAGAACTTGTAAAACTTGGGATGACCCATGCCCTTTATGCCTACATAAAAAACTACACATTATTAAGTTTCTAAATAATAAAAATCTATTAAACAATAGACATGTGTAAACGGATTTTTGCCGACATCTTCAAATTTTCGCTTTGAATAATTACCATAAAAAACAAACAGTTAAATAATAAATACAAATTTTAAACTCCATAGTCTAATTAAACTTTTAAAAGCCCTACCCAATAATAATAATAATAATAACAAAAAACCTTTGTGAAGTCGTCAAAAAAAACAAAAAAACAAATGTTAGCTAATTATGACAGTTTTTTATATACACAAAAACATTTCAGGAAAGAAAATAAATTTAAAAAAAAAGGAAATAAATCTCCATAGACACTTAACCAGACGAGACGATGTCATCTTCCGCTTTAAATTTAGACACCCCAACCTTACCCTGACTTGACCTCTTTGAATGTAACTGAGATATTGATACAAATTATTAACCCTCACGCCCCCTTTTTTTTTAAATAATTGCTCTAGCCGTTACCACAGTAATTTTAAATTTAATGAAGAATATGCTTAAAAAAAAGCATAAATTTCAAGAATTAGTTGTTCTAAAAAAATTTCGATTGAAGATGGAACAGAGCTTAGTACTTTAATTAAATTTAATACAAATAATGATATTTAAGTTTTCGGCTCTTGTTTTGAAACATGAGAACTCATATGTAGCGATGGGATCATATTTTTAAATAAAGAATTATATATATATACAGGGTAGGGCAGAGCAACCTCCTTATTTGGAATATCAATTAAAACACAAGCAATGCAGGTATGCATGTAATTCTTTGAACTGCAACTAGTACAACATTTAAATTTTATTTTTTAGCAGTTTTAAAGATGATATCAGTAAGATGGCGTCCATTCTTCTCTATACACTGAGTTAATCTAATTCTGAAATTTCGGTCAACTCTTTCCAGCATATCGATGGGTATGTTGGCGACAGCTCGACGAATGTTGTTTTTCAGGTGAGTCAATGTGCTAGGACGATCGTTCTAAACAATTGATTTCCGATATCTCCATAAAACATAGTCACATGGTGATAAATCAGGGGACCGTGCTGGCCAATGCAGATCGCCCCTCAAGGAGATGAGGTGTCCTGGGAAGTTCTGCCGCAAAACAGTCATTGACACGCGCGCTGTGTGTGCCGTGGCACCGTCCTGCTGGAACCACACATTTTCCAGACCAATCTGGTTCAATGTTGGCAGGAAGCACTCATTGATCATGTTGCCATAACGGTCAGATGTCACTGATACTGCCTGTTCATTTTTTTCAAAAAACCACGGGCCAATTATGCCAACTCGCGATAGTGCACACCAAACAGTTACACGTAGTGCGTGTAGAGGACGTTGATGAAGTTCACTGGGGTTTTCAGGACACCAATAGCACATGTTTTGCTTATTTACAGATCCCGAAAGATGGAAGCGAGCCTCATCACTGAAGAAAACAAGTGTGTCGTCAGGCAAGCCCAAAAGGGCCTCACATGCAATTTCACGAGCAATAAAATCGCGTGGATTAAGTTCCTGCACCATAGCCAATTTGTCGGGATGAAATTTCAATTCTTCATGGAGGATTCGTCTCACAGAACGAGCAGACAACTCAAGAGCAGATGCGTGTTTGCGGGCAGACCGTCTGGGAGATCTCAAAACAGATTGTCTCACCGCGTCAATGTTTTTGGGTGACCTTGCTGTTCGTGGGAGGCCAGGTTTCTTTTTCTTTACATCTCCCGTTTACCTGAAGTTGTTTACCCATGAAACAATCGACTGCTGGCCAGGAACACGACCACGGGGGAGGGGGGATATTGAAATGTCTACGGAATGCACGTTGCGTTGCGACGATTGAGCGACCGCTTGAAAAAAAAAATGCCTCAACAGCGAAAGCGCGTTCCAACTTCGTCCACTCCATGATCACTGGGGTTTCTGAAAAATAAACAAAAAATAAATAACGTACGTTAAGAACCAAACGTTAAGCCCCATCCTCTCAAATAAGTCCATCCCTACCATCCTTGGAGCAACCATCGCTTTAGGGCGCCAAATTTAAATAAGCAAGTTGCTCTGCCCCACCCTGATATGCAAATATGTAGAAAATAGGAATAAACTCTTTAGGTAAATAAACTTCTTTAGTATTTTTTGTTTTTATTTTTAAAAACAGTGCTCGATACAAAACTAGAGCCTAAATTATAATTATTTTTTTTACATATGATTCCTTCGCTACATAAGAGTTCTCAAGTTTCAAAAACAAGAGCTGAAAACTTCAGTATAATTATTTGAATTAAATTGAATTAAAGCATCAAGCTCTGTTTCCTCTTTAAGCGAAATTTTTGGAATTCGCTTGAAGATAAAACAGAGCTTGATGCTTTAATTCAGTTTAATTCGAATAATTATATTCAAGTTTTCAGCTCTTGTCTTTGAAACATGAGAACTTTTATGTAAGGAAGGAATAAAATATTTAAAAATATATATATATATATATATATATATATATATATATATATATATATATATATATATTGGATAAATAAGCGGAAAAAAAAAAAGTTTAAAATATGTTCTTTTAAATTTCTGTAAGTTTCTCAACTATAGATATATATATGAACCAAAACGGAACCTTAAACATGACAATTTATCAACAGCAATTGTCGTGCACAGAAATTAATTCAACCACAAATTGGATCTGGAAAGTACCTCACTTATGAAAACGAAAGTAATTTACACAGAAGGAACAATCTTGAGTTTGCTGCTATCGTATCTTACCAAAATAATCATTTATTTAAAGATTTTAATAATTAAATAGCACTGGAGAATAAATCAACAGAGAATGTAGGATAAGTTAATACATCGGAGAGAAAACCAACAACAACAACAAAAAAAACAGAACTAAAAAGACAATTCAAATTGAAAGGTGGTACCTCGGTGGTGAAATATTTTTTACTTGACGGGATTTTGGCCGTGGGTAGATAGTGGAAAAGGCTCTTTAAACGACGATCTAATATCGCTATTTTGGCTTTTATCATGAAATTAGACTCAAGACATTCATTACCAACTATTGTCAGCCACAAACGAATGACAAACTACACATGATACACATGATATATATATATATATATATATATATATATATATATATATATATATATATATAGTCACATCCAGGTATATTTTTATCTTAATGCGTTGATGTCCTGAAGGGCAAAACGTGACACGTGAAAAATAGATTTACATAGGTTTCCTTAATATATATATATATATATATATATATATATATATATATATATATTATGTTTTATGTGTCGTACTTAGTGGAAAACGGGGGATCTCAGGGATAGAGCATACATATTCCGTTGTATAGATATGAGTTTGTGGCCCAGGTTTTCAGGCGTTTGCGATCATCAGGCAAACTTAAAATTGGATCTATCCATGCTTTTTGAATATCCTTGGAGGTGGAAGGGGGAATTTTCATCTGAGTTAATTTGGAATGGCACTCTTATACACATAAGCACACATACATACAGGTGTACGCATTCTAGTTCAAAAAACACATCCATGTAAAAAATCCGAGGTTAGTCCATTGTGTGAACTAAAATGCATGGGCAGAATTAAAAATATGAAATGGCCACAATTCGCCAAACGCGCCTGCCTCTCTCTCTCTCTCTCTCTCTCTCTCTCTCTATATATATATATATATATATATATATATATATATATATATATATATATATATATATATGATTTGTATAAGGAATAAATTCCAATAACCAACAAATACTGGTCTTAAAAGAGTGCTCAATACTGAGTAGAGCATATATAATTATTCATTCGAAAATTATAAGATGTTATAAAATCACTACAAAAATAGACATTTTTTCAACACTTCTGATGTCTTATCAAATGATAGTGTTGTTTGTAGAACAAATAGTTTTAAAAGGTCCAAATCAATCAAACACCCCTCGCTAGGTGAAACGCAGTTGCATAAGCTGAAATGACCAAACCAAATAGAAGTATAGGATAATTCAATAAACTTGACAAGGACCTTTGGTTATAATAATTATCTGATGCTTTAATGTTAGGTTTACACTAAAATAGTATTCATTTTAACTAATTAATATTTAATTATACTACAAAATCAAAAAATACCAATTTCAAATATTAAAGTTAATCTAAATTATAAAATTAAAAAAAAATATAAAATTATTTAAAGAAGAAACTGAGGAAAAATATATATGCTTTGTTATTTATTTTGTTTTTATTGAAAGCCCAACGTTAAAATCTAATGTTGCTCTGAGCTCCGTTACAACTAAGATACATTTCAAGTGAAGATATGGGCAGGGTGTTGTGAACAGCACTTCAAAAACATATTCAGGTGTCTTCACAAGTAGTTATACAGTAAGTATTATAGAGGTATTAACAGTATTTATCACGTTTTGTTTTTCTTTATAGTATATCTACTTTTGTACCACCCAGTGTATTTGCGCGTGTGTGGAGGGCGAGACGTATGTGTATTTTTTGTGTATTGTGTGTGCGTGTTTGCGTGTGTGCGTATGTATTTTATCTCAGACATCGTCTCGTCGACAGGTTAGATTTTACCAGAATAAGAACAATATGGAATTTCATGTCAACCAATCATCAACATTTACACTCCAATGTTTTGTAATTATTTACGCTACTAATGCTTTCCAAATGTTTTCTGCTCTCTTCTCCTCTCTCCAAATCTCTCTTTCTCTCTCTCTCTTTCTCTGTCTGCCTGTTTTTCTCTTTCGCGGGAGAGAGTGAAAGAGAGAGACCATCATTCTTGGGTTAATGTCTTCGGTCTCATTGCTCTCCTCTCACGAAAAGCCGACAGCGACAAAAATAAAAAATTATATTAACCTACTCACACTTAGAGCAGGCAGCCGTGTGTAGTAATGGTTTGCGAGCCTGCCGGTAGATTATTCCTAATGAATAGTGTGTTCGATCCACACTGGGAGTTATATTCTTGTGACCTTGAACTAAATTAAGCTACGCGCTTAGTAAAAAACAAATCAGTCACATTGACAGTGCAAAGTCCACCATCACCGTAATGTTGCCCACAGAAGAATGCATTGTTTTCCTTCTAAGAAGGGCAAAGGAAAAACAAAACAAAAAAAAAATTGTTTACTTAAATACCTGTCTGGTGAAACACTGTACAATGGAAGTGTGTTGGTTTTCTGATACAAAACTCTCGGAAAAATGAGTGAAGACTGTGGAAGTGTGGCGTGGAGACGTTCCGAAGAAAAACAATGCGTAGCTTGCTGTACAACATGTCTTCGGGTATGGAAAACGAGGAACAAATATGTTCGGTTCAAGAAATTTATACATTCTTTGTAAAGTTCGAAAAAGTAAGATGGATTTTGTCTTGTCACAGCAAGGAGCATGAAGACACCTTAAGGCACTATACCGTAACAAAATGTATGCAACATTTTTTTCATCTGATTACCACACACACACACACACACACACACACACACATACATACATACATACACACACATTTTTCAAACAGAAAAGCCTATAAAAGATTTTCTTCCGTATACGCACAAAGATATGTGTCGAATAGTTATTCTTTAGGTGGACATCTTTAAAATTCATCCCTGTATCGAAATTTATTTATTTTGAATGTGTTGAATGGGCTTATATTTAAAGTCTCCATCAAAATCAGCATCAAATTGTGAAACCTCTCTCTATGAACTGGTGATACATTGCGACGTCATCCAATAAAACGTGTAAGACTTTCGCCCCCCACAGCAGATATACACACACATATATGCATGAACGCACATACACCGACACACGTACAGACACACCCGTACACACACACGTACACTGCCGCAAGTACCTTTTATCTTATTAAAGTTAATTGTCTATGTTTTTGTATATTTTACTCTGAAATTCTTTAAATGTGTATTCTTTCTCGTGTATTAATCTTATTTAAAAGTCAAAATACATAAATTGAAGAAGTTATAACGATTCAAAGAGTGCATACATTATTTTGGGATACCCTGTATATATATATATATATATATATATATATATATATATATATATATATATATATATATATATATATGTGTGTGTGTGTGTGTGTGTGTGTATGTGTGTCTTTGTGTGTCCTGAGCTCACAATCTTTGGGTCCTGTCTCTGCATCGAAGCAACGCCTTTATCCACTGTGCCATGTGTCCTTTAGGATATCTGTGTGTGAATTTCTGGGTATTATAAACCTAATGTCTTCAGCAACCATTGCTTCTATTGTAATTTTTTGCTGTTATCATTGCATGTTTTTTGCCAGAACTCATATTGCAAATTTTGTTGTTGTTATCGCTTTTCTCTGGCACTCCTTATTACTGGTTCCTATATTTTATTAATTTCTATACTTGGTCGGCTCAGGAGATTTTTGTGGCCTAGCATATGTGGACAAGATGAGAACAATAATCCGAATAATGTAAATACTATACATAATACCTCATCTCAGAAATAGAGACAGATACCAATTAAATATAAAACCTAAAAGCATGAAACACATCTAGTCATCTGTTAATTATTATACACTAAACAAAGCACTTAACTTAGCAAAGCAATACATAATTCTCCCCATGATCTAATAATGGGTAGCTATTATATTGCATATTGTGCGAACGCATCAGCACATATATAATCAATAATCTAACCAATATTTGTTATAAAATATATATGTCTATACAGCGACGAGACTGTATTAATTGTTAGAAACCGCAATAATTCCCAGAAATACAGAAATAATATAAAACAATGAAAAATCATTCAAAACTCTACGATTTACAATAGATATAAAATTCAATAAAAAATAGTAAATTCCTTAGATATAACCAAACAACAACCCAATATTCAATAACAAATATTCCAACCACACTTTAA